ATCAAAGGATGCTAAAACCCTTAGGTGAATGTTTGTGAAATACCATTCCATATATTATTTGCTAGTAGCCAATGGAAAGAATTTTAAAGTAGACATTATCTTAATGAAGTGATTAAACAGATATCACTAATAATGAGACAAACAAAAGTCATGTGCTCCTAGTATGATGCACTGGAAAAGACCTATGGTCCATGAAACATTCCTGCCAAAAATTATTTAACCTGGGCTGGGGAGATAGTTCAGTGGCACAAATGCCTGCCTGGTAAGCACAACATCCTGAGTTCAATTCCTAGTAACAAAAGAAAAAACTATTTAACCTGACTTTCTAGTCATTAGGAAGCAATTCCATAAATTTCAATTGACCAAAAGTAATTGTCTCTGACTTTTCCACGTTATAAATAAAAAGCTCTCTCAGGGGCCGGCGAAATAGCTCAGTATAATAAACACTTGCCTGGCAAGTGCAAGAGCCTGAGTTCAATCCCCAGTTCCACCAAAAAAAAAATAGAAATAAAAGAAATAAAAATAAAAACCACTCTCCAAGGTGGGGGAAGTATAAATTGTCCAGGTCATAGGAACTGAATGACAGCAAAACAGTATAAGTGATCCTTTACTGGATGTCAAATATTGCTAAAATAAAATATCTGAAGGAATTTTAAAAAAAAGTTACACAGCATGGTGGTGCATGCCTGTAATCCCAGCACTAGGAAACTTGAGCCAGGAGGACTGTTGCAGGTTAGGTGCCAGCATGAGCTGCACAGTGAATTTAAGGTCAGCCTGAAATACAGGGCGAGACCCTGTCTCAAAAAAAAAAAAAATTGTAATTACTGAATATAGAAGTGGAAATACAAAAAAAAGTAGAAATACAAGAATATATTACATTCAAGTATTATACCTGAGTTATATGTTTTACTTATTCATGATTATGTAGAAGAATGGTATTGTTATTAGAAGATACATGCTGATGTACTTAGCAGCTGAGTCCCAATTTTTGAACTGGGTTTTTGTTTTTTTATGTTTGTTTGTTTGTTTGTTTGTTTTGCGGTACTGGGGATTGAACTTGTCAGGCAAGCGCTTATTCCACTAAGCCATCTCCCCAGCCCCTAGAACTGGGTATTAAGACCCTTTCTCAAAAAGACAAAAGAGAGAGGGAGACAAAGACAGAAAGAGAAAGTAATCAAATAGTAACAACTGGTGAAGCCAAGAAAAGAATGTATAGATGTATCCTCCCAAAATTCTTACAACTATAGCTCACATTAAGAACTTTTCAAAAGAACTTTTGAGTGCTCCCTTCGCAGCACATATACTAAAACTGCAACCATACAGAGAAGATTAGCATGGCCCCTGCGCAAGGATGACACACAAATTCATGAAGCGTTCCATTAAAAAAAAAAAAAAAAAAGAACTTTTGAAAAGTAATGAGCTGAGCCCGGAGGGGTGAATTCTAACTATTATAAAGTTCGAAGCTGGAAGACTGCAAGTTCAATGCCAGCCTGGACAACCTGAGATTTTCCCTTAAATTTTTTAAAAGGAGTGGGGGGAGACTGGAGATATTAGCTCAGTGTTTAAGCATTTGCCTAGCATCCCAAGGCCATGGGTTCAATCTCCAGTACTGCAATAAATATACTAACCGACGGCTGAGGAATTTTACAAAAGAAAGTAAAACAATGAGTGCAAGTAAAACAGCACAATATTTAAGATAAGTTACTGTGTTCATATTATTCTCTTCCAAAACATATTGACAGATTTAAGAAAATGGGGTGCTGCAGGCAGGGGAGATGGCTCAGTGGAGTATGTGCTTGCCTGGAAAGCGCAAGGGCCTGAGTTCAATCCCTGGTTCCACCAAAGAAAGAAAGAAAGAAAGAAAACGGGGTGCTGCAATAACTAAAATTATCTGAATCAGAAATACGAAAAAGAAAAAAAATAGGAAAAATACATTTCCATAAAATTAGACTGTGCTATAACAAATCCGCAGCATAATATATATTTATACGCCATTGTAACACCCCTTCGGATAAGAGTAGCAGATAAAAACACCTGCCTTCACATACTTACAACCTACTGAACCAACACAGTAAGTTACATAGTAGGTTAGAAGTCATCCACACAATATACGAAAAGAAAGTACGAATGGAGTAGAGGATAGCTACAATTTACAGTGGAACGACCACGAGAGACCTGACAGAGACGTAGAGAGCAAACGCTGAAGGCACCTAGAGAAGAGCCTCGGGGAAGTGGCAGGCATGGCCGGGCGAGTAAGTGAGCGAGGAGGACAGAGTTGGTACGAGGCTGGAGACGGACAGGGGCACCAAGCAGACCAGAAACCAAGAACGCCCTCCGAGAGCCTGCCTCCGAGCGTCGCAGGGATTCACTATAGGTTTCTGGAAAGGCAGCACGCGAGCTGAACTTAGCCCGCCTAGCAAGCTCAAGTTTACTTCTCCCCACCCGAGTCCTCCACCTCCAGCCCCCCACTGCCCGCCACCGCATCCAGGAAACCAGCCTTCCGGGTGAAGCTGACCCCGAACCATCTGTTAATGAAACTCGCGGGCATGAGCCTCAGTGGGCACAGCTCTGGCAACGAACCTCTTTGCTCTCACAACTCCCCGTTCTGCTCAAAGACAACCCATCCGCCCTCGGAGATGCCCACACCACAAAGAGGTCACGCTCGACGCGGGACACACGCGTCTCTGACACCCTCTGGCTGAGCGCCCGCGGGGACAAGAGGTACGAGAGGACAACCCAGGCGGCCACGCCGTCCTGCACTCACCCTCAGGTTCCCCTTGGTCCGTTGCTTGTTCTTCCCGCCCATGGTCTCGGTCTTGGCCGCGATCTCTGGCTGCAGCCCTCAGGTTGACACCGCCGGGCCACAACTTCCGGCCCCAAACGCCGGAAGGGGGCTCACTGGAACGACTTCCCCAGGCCCGCCCCTTCCGCAGCTCGTCCCGCCCCTTGGCCCCCACTTCCGTTCCCGCTTCCCGCAGTGGCCCCGAGCGCCCGACGCGGAGGGTGTCACAATTAGAGCCACGTAGCTCCCAGTGTCGTCATCTCTAGCCAATAGGAAGCCAAGCATTGGCCCGGTGCAGCCAAGTCCTGCCCTGCAGAAGCTTCAGTTCCTCGCCGAAAGGACTGGACTTGGGCTTGAGCTGTGCGTTTATTTTCACACAAGGGTACCAACACAGTCTTTGTGGCTGCGAATGTAGAAGTGCTGAGTTTGTGGGGCATCCCCTGGGCATTTGTTAGAAAAGTAAACCTTTGTTGGGCGTAGAGTTCAGTGTAGAGAGCTTGCCTAGCATGTTGAAAGATCCTGGGTTCAAATCCCAGCACTAACGAAAGAAGAAAAACAACCTTTTGACTCCCTTCCTGAACTAGTGAATCAGAATCTTCATTTTAACAAGATTACTGTTTTTTGTTTTGTTTTTTTTTCCTGGCGGAACCCAGGATTGAACTCAGGCCCAAGCACTTCCAGGCAAGCGCTTATTCTACTGAGCCATTTCCCCGGCCCCAAGATTACTATTCTTGTTAAAATTTGAGTAGCAAAACAGGCATGGTGATGCACACCTAATCACTACATTGAAGA